CCCCCCCATCCCATACAGCCCACTCCCACCCCCATGAAGTGCTAAGCACCCTCAGCCCATCACAGCCACTGCGTGCTCCCACCAGAATTCACCCTGCTCCTGGGGGGCAGGAAGCAGTGAAACGAGGGGGGGCAGCGACCAGAACAATGGAGGGTGTCATTTTAATGGTCAGAGCTCTTCCCTCACTCCCAATACAGCCGGAAAAACCCCCATTAAAATCCCCCAAGGGCCGTACAAAGTCGTACACAAAGGGTGGGGAAACCGAGTCGAAGGGAGGGGACATCGTATAAAATAAAAGGGGGGTGGGTCAGGATGCCAGAGTGCGTGGGGGGGGTCTGTACAGTCTCAGTAGGGTCGCTCGCGGCGGGCTTGTCTGTGATCCCCTCTGGAGAAAAGAAGGAAAAAAAAAATGGGGTTAACGAAGGGTAGGGCATATGCAGCAGCCAATGGCAGACTCCTTCTGTCCTGCTTACAGGGGGACCCCTAAATCAACCCTCAGTTCCCTCAGGTTGCTACCGTAATTCCTCACCTAGCATGCACTGACCACTCCAAAGCAGCCACCAAAGGCCTAATGTTTGGCTATGGAGCTGGTTGGGGGTGGAGCCTATCAAGGAGCTGGAAGCCATCTTGAAGCCTAGTCTCACCCAGACACAAGGTCTCTGGGAAAATTCCTGTTTTCTGCCCCAAGAGGCAGGTGTCCTATTGGGAAGGTGTGAAGTTACGGTAGCACCCATGCTGTCCAATGGGCCATGGCACCCACACACTGGCCAATCCACAGCAGCAAACAAAGAACCCATCTTTAAAGGCACAGTGTCTTACTGCAGGGGGATTCTTGAGGAAGCGTGCACTGTGCAGGATAGATAGGGCAAGTCCCTAGCACCTGGGCTATTATAGGTGGGCTATTATGGTAGATCCTTCCCCTGCTGACTAGAGGGGGCCCTCATCTCAGTTGCAGACTCATTAAGTTAACGAGCTCTGATCTGGAACCCACCCCTTCTACCAACCAGTGGGGAGCGGCTCTGCTATTGGACAGCCCCATGATACAGGGCAGGCCATCCCCACGACCCCTCATGGGCTGGGGAAGGTTCGGAACCCAGGTGTCTGGAACCTACTTTACCTGGAGTCCATTTTGCCTGGGCCATAGCCGCCCCGGTCACCGCCGCGGCCGCCCCGGAAGCCACCTCTGTCACCGCCGCGGCCGCCCCGGAAGCCACCGCCACGGTCAAAGCCACCTCGGCCCCCGCGGCGCTCTTCACCGAACCCGCCGCCTGGTGGAGGAGAGAAGCCAAAGGGGCAGGGGTAAGAGAATACCATATTGTCCTGCATACAATGTGCACACTCCCCACCCAGCAAGGGACAACTTATCTTCAAGAAAATCCCATTTTCAGAGGCGTTAATGACCCCATCTCCTTTTTAATTGGTCTTGATGCTTATGGGAGCTCGCCTCTCTTAGGGCAACAGCCTTGGACACTCCAGCTCTTTAGAAATTCCTGGATCCACCCAGAGACCAGGCTACCGCAGCAGCAACTAGTGTTTCAGGTTTAGTTGAGCATGAGAGGGGCAAGCTGAAGACAAGAGCCGTCACAGAACCCCCCCCAGTACAGGGGAAATTTTCGTGTTGCTATGGTGAATGGTCCCGAGCCTTTCCTGGTGGTGTGGGGTATGAAATGAACCAAGGTAATAACAATGATGACTATTAACCTTGTTAACGATAATCATCGTCCTCATTCTAAACAGTGCCATAGCAACCATGTGCAACAGTGATATAGTAATAATAGCAGTAAATTTGATTCCGATAAGTGGTATAAGATGGAGGTTTATAATAATAGTACCAATGCTACAATGTGATGCCAATGATATGGTAATGATATTGATGACATAATACAGTAAAATTGTAATAGCATAGTATGCCAATGCAACACAAATAGCAACTTTCTGCCAATAAGATGCATTGTTGACGCTAACGATAACAATGACATTGCTAGACTACAGCACTGCCATGTCATGATCACTGATGTTACCGTCTTATTAGCATACCTCTGTTAATAGCACTGCATTAGCATATCATCATCATCATCACTATCATCTTACTATTGTAACGACATGCTACTGCAATGCTAAAAAGCAACGATACTTTGACTACGTTAACTATACTATACAGAGTAATGATAGTGGTAATGACATCATAATGATATAATCATGCCATGATAATATGCTAATGCAAGGCTAATAACAATGCTATGCTAATGAAATGCTTTGATCATGCCAACTAAACTGCAACATAAGATATAGCTATGCTATACTAATAGTGTGGTTTGATGCTCGCTATACTGTAATACAATAGTTATGCTATGATAAGTTAATGACACTACAGTAATGAAATGCTCTGACGATGCTACCTATACCGTGATGATGTAGCATGGCTATTGGTGCAATTATATGAGCACTGCGTTAGCATGATGTTAAGATACAAACTATACGGCGAGGATAACGAGAACGTAATAATGATAGTGATGTGGTAATGACAACAACGTGCTAATGCAATGCTATGACGACATGCATCATCACACTACCACCATCACATCCCAATGACGTAGTAAGAATGTACCAATAACGACACCTTACATCCATACTACAGTAAGGAGTGCAACGGTAACCATACTTTCCCATGACAGGGGCATGTTGTACATGGGACCCCACAGGAGCCAGGCAAGGCCTTACCCATGTGAGGGCCTCCGGGCCCGTCGGGCTTGGGGGCCTTGCACTGGTTGCACTCGTTGCGCCAGGAAAAGTTCATGTTCTCACAGGTCCTGCAAGACACAAAAGGGGTCACAAGGGTCCCAAAGGGGCTGGTAACCCCACCCATCAAAGACCCGCCCTGGTGACAGACACTTACGGGTTGGGGCATTTCCAGTCCCCGGCACGCTGCTGCCCACCTCCGCCACTGGGGAAGCCGCCGCCTCGGCTCCCGCCACCACCACCACTGTTGCCAACGCCGTAGCCACCACGGCCCATGGGTCCTGGGGGGGACAAGGACTGGTGTTAATGGGAGCACAAGTCCACAGAGGCTGAGCGGCTGGAACCCACCACCCCTAACTGCCCCTCCCTCCCCAAGAAGCCAAGGCACCAGCCCACACCGTCCTTACCTCCACGGCCACGGCCTCCGCGCCCATTCCCGCCGCCACGGTTGAAGTCGGCCCGTCGGGTGGCGAAGGAGACCTTGATGGGGTTGCCAGAGAACTCCTTGCCTGCCAGGAGAGAGAAAGCCCGGTTAAAAAAGTCACATGGTCTAATTTTGGCCCTGTTCATTAGATACTAATTAATGCCCCCCCCCCGAAGAGGACGCGCACACTGCTTTAATTAGACACTAATCACCCCCCTTCTTGATCATCAGGAAATGCACCCCCCTTTGCTTTGAGCTGATTAGGCGCTCTGGTCACACTTGAGAAAAGGACCCAGGAGTCCATGGCTACTCACCATCAAACCAGTCGATGGCTGCTTTGGCGGAGGGAGGGTCGTCGAAGGAGACCGTGGCCTCCCCCTTCAGCTTGCCCGTCTCACGGTCTGTGTACAGGTTGATCATTGGCTGCCCTGTCTTCTTGTTGGTCTGAAGGGCAGAAAGGAGACATGCGCGTCAACCTGGAAGCCCTGGGCGCAGGGGTGGTGAATCACTCCATGCAACCTCCAGAGGGTGGGTGTAGAGGCAGGCTGGCACCTGGAAGGGGCCCCAAGATGCTCAAATCTAGCTGCCGGTTACCTTAATGATCCCAATCTGCTTGAAGTAGTCAGCCACCGACTCAATAGTCACATTTTCGCCAAGCCCCTGCACGAAGATGGTGTTGTTGTCCGAGTTATCCTGCTCTCCTGGTTCAAAGAACAGGTACAGGTCAAACCCTGGGGAGCTGCCCCATTGTGCCTCCACCCCCGTTCTTCTTTCCCTCTCGTTAACTATTTGCAAACAAGGGAACAGGGAGAGAGGAAACAGCAGCTTACCGGGGTCGTGTCGTGATCCCTGGTCCCTTGGCCCTTTGAGTACATGAAAGCAAGGAGAGACAAGTCAGTGAGGGGGGTGGGCCTGCTGGGTTCACGTCGTCTCACACACACCCCCACGCACACACACACCCACACATAACAGCAAGCCAGTGTTGGAACATGTGCTCTCAATTACTACTCTGGCCGTGTACCCGGAGACTCGAGACACTTCGAAGAGGACCATACAAGCGCTGAAAAACACCCGGCTGTGCCTTGTTCCGATTGTCGTACTACACACAGGCTTTGTATAAATAGATACTTGTAATAGAGATGCATCAATCAAACCCATTCAGCTTGGCCCTTTTAACAAAGTTCGCATTTAAAATGAGACACCACGAGCACTGGTACGTCCGTTCGTTACACCTCTTTTGTGCTGTCTGCACCCTGCGCCTTGCTGGAGCACCGCCCCTGCGGGCTACTCCGCGTGGGAGCCCCAGGACCAAACCACTGACTCTTAACGAGCTTTTAAGTAAAGTGATGCCCCGAAAACGGCTTCAGCCCGAAGTGAGAGTTGAGCTAGATCTCACGCGGAGACAATACGTTTGAACCATTAAAAGTCGTTCACCTCCAACCGTTTAGACGTTTCGTCTAGTGTTTACATTGATGGACATATTTATTATATCTATAGGATTTATATTGATGGACGTATTATTTATTATCTCCGTGTCACCAGTTTTTTTGCACCTTGATTGTAACCACAGCTGACCAAAATCCTTCTATTTATAAAGCATATGCCCAACACTGGTCTCGTTATCAACCTTATATCAAGAGATCTTTCATACCAAAACCCCTGGCAACATGTTTAGATTTCACTGAATGCAAAGATACCGTTTCCTTATCAAAAAATATAGTTCTCTTTAAAAAAAATAAAAAATAAAAATATACCTTTTTCTTTAAGCTATAAAACCACGTCAAGGAGCTGACGGAAATTATACCAGACCGAAAATTCATTCCAGTTTTTGGGGGGGGGGGGATTTTCCCCAGTTTGGTTTTCTGTACCAATAATTACAGAAAAGGTAAAGTAAAACACTTAAAAAAATAAAATAAAATGCCTCCCTTGACCTTGGAGATCGCATGCAACGGACTGTCTCTGGGGGATTTTAAAACATCCACCAAACTTTCCTCTCTCTGCTGTGCTTTACCACTCACAAACCAGACACAATTATGAAGTAGCAGATTTTCTTCTTGCCATTTTTCACCCCTCCACCCCCCCAAAAAAACAGCACAAAATCGTGCATGTCTTGCTGCAAAAACATACAACCAAGATGTATTGGCACCAAGAACTCCGATCGAGAAGGAAGCAGAAGCCCCATGTGATATGGAACGACACAATGTCCGTGTGAACATTATATAAAGAAAACCCATTTTCATGGCTGGAAAGGTGCCCCCATAGGTTGTATCTGATACATGGTGGCTTTTTTCTTCTATTTTTTTTTCTAACATATTAAAAACATATAGATATTCTGAATATGTAACACAACCTCTCTCTGGAAAATAAAGCTACGTCATTACACACAATGTCTATTTTTTCTTTTTTTTTTTGGTTCAAGGTTTGAACTCGGGACTTACCACCGAATTTATTGTAGCCACCTCGCTCACCACCGCTGAGAAGATAAGTTAGAAGATAATGAAGCTTTTTTTTTTTTTTGTTTCCACAGGGAACAAAGCTTTGCTACTTAGGTCTTTGCCGCACCACTTTTCCCATCAGTTTTTTTGTTTTGTTTAAAAAAAAAACAAAAAACAAAAAACACAACAAAAACACTCCCTAAAAAAAAAAAAAAAGCAGCTATTTCCAAACTCTTTGGCACTTTTGGGGGGGCTCTGAACGTTTCTTTCAATTCTTAAAATACACTTTTTTTCCAGCTAAGATCAACCGCCAACACCTTTGCTTCTCTTAAAGTCACTGCAGCCGCTGAGATGCCCAGGAACAACGGCGACTCCTCCGCGTGTGGTGTGGCTCCGTGAACAGATTTAACACTGTATCAGACCAGTTGCATTTATTTTTGTGTATATATCAGATAACGAATACGTATTGTTTGTATATAGTTTTCGCCCCTGCCCTTGTGTATACGTGGTACCAGCCTGCGCATGGCTTATTTTCCGAGAGGTAGATATAGGCATATATAAATTTACATCAAAAAAGAGGATTATCTGCTTTGAAAGCATAACGAAACCCCAAAGAGTTGCCTGCGTGAAGTGAATTTCAGAGGGGGGCTGTCAAGCCTAAGCCTGTCTGATATCACAGCTCTACTTTCCCTCCCTCTCACCCTAAAAAATAATGCAGAAGGTGGAGAATTGATAAAGTTCATTGACTTTTCACACCTGTGGCACATAAAATGCAGAGTTTGTTAACAGGTAAGAAGTAGCATTTCACAGCAGATCAAACACAAAGCAGCATCAAGACGATATTTTTCCCCCTCTTTTACTTACCTCCTTTTAAATTAAAACAACACAAGCTGGGATTAGAAATCACAGCATGGGCTTCCCCCGTCCCAGCTTGTGGCCCTTTATTATTATTATTATTCCCCCCCCCACAAGTAATTGTCAACCATCAAGCAACCTCAATTGAGGGACGATCGTTAGTCCTAGGGCAGTTTCAAGACCTGGCTGGTGTGCAGATGCCACAAAAACGAGATGCAGAGAGGTACGGAGGTGGGAACTGAAACAAACCACTCATCAGCACCCCTGGGGCAGGGAGTCTGGACAGTCAAAAGGGTCCTGAGAGCGCCGCTGTGGGCTGACACAGAACACCCAGCGCCTGCACATGGTACCTTGGCTTTCCAACCTGTGCAGACACCAGGTTTGACTGCATTTCTGCCACACAACACCCATTTTCCTCCTCTGAGAGGCTTTGTTATAAACCCCACCCCCAGGTTTCTTACCAAACCAGGGGCTGCTGGGAAAGGGGGGCTGTTAAAATTCACCATTCAAGTGAAACCTGTGAAGAACCACCATAATTTAAGGTATATCAACTAGCAAACCACTGTAATTTAATGTATATAGTGGGAAAACCACTTGAATATAAAAGGTATGATGGGAAAACCACCTTAACATAGGCTATATAATGGTAGAAACACTGGAAGTTTTAAAGGTATATAATGGACAAGCCACTAATTTGACATTTATCAATTGGGAAACCATCATATTTATGGTATATAATAGAACCACCTTAATGCAAGGTATATAATGGTAAAACTACCATAATTTAAAATATATCTGATAGACAAGCCACTGTAATTTGAAGTCTCTTAGGAAACCACCATAATTTATAGTATATAATGGGAGGACCACCTTAATATAGGATATGTAATGGTAGAAACACCGTAATTTAACGTATATGATGGGCAAACCACTGTAATTACAGATCTATCAATTGGGAAACCACCATAATTTATGGCATAATAAAACCACCTTAATATAAGGTATATAATGGTAGAGCCATCATAACTAAAGGCATAGGATAGAAAGAGTCAAAACCACTGTCATCTGAGGTATATAGATTGGCAAACCACTGTTGTTTAAGATATATAATGGAAAAACCACCTTGATATAAGGCATGTGCTGGGAGAGCCACTGTAATTTGAAGTATATAAAAATCAGAAAACCACCTTAAATTTAAGGTATATAAATGGCAGAACCACTGTAATTAAAAGGTATACATGATGGAAAAACCACTGTGATCTGAGGTCTCTCAATTGGCAAGCCACCGTAATTGATGGTATATAAATGGGAAAACCACCTTAATAGAAAGTATATAATGGTAGGAATAATGGTAGACCACCTTAATTTAAATGTCTATCAATTGGCAAACCACCATAATTTATGGTATACCATGGGAAAACCACCTTAATACAAGGCATACAAACGGTACAGCCACTGCAATTTAAGGTCTATCAATTGGCAAACCACAAATTTAAGCTATGTAACAGGGAAACCATGTTAATAAAGTATATATTGGGAAAACCACCATAATTTGAAATACATCATTAAAGAACCACCTTAATTTAAGGCATATAATGGCAGACCAACCATCATCTGTGGTATATATAATGGGAAAACCACCTTAATATAAATGGTATACGATGGGAAAAGCACCGAAATTTACAATCTATAGCATAGCAGCAGAATGCAACCAGGCACTTGTGATTCACACCTCCGAGCATGTTCCCAAGGACACGGAGGGGTCCCAGGGTGGGCCCCTGCCCCACGTTACATGCATCACGCCATCCAGTGGCGAGTCAAGCAGTAAAAGTTAGGCTGGGCACACGTGCAAAGTCATCAGCACACCATAAAAATGGCAGTCCAGCTATGAAGTCAGTGTCTGAAAGCATGGGACAGCTTCTGAGCTAGTTTCTCTCCAGCTTTAAAAAGAAATCAGGACTAATGGCAGGGCTGGGGGAGGGGGGTGGAAGCAACAGTGTTTCCCCACCTAGCCTGAACACGGCTGTTGTATGATCCCTGTCCCACCAGGAGCATGTGGACACCTACCCCATGCCTCCACCGCGGCCTCCCCGGCTGCCTCGGCCACCTCGATCGAAGCTGCCGCGGCCATAGCCCCCGCGCCCACGGCTACGGTCTTGCTGGCCTCCACCATAGCTGCCCTGGTCCTGGTTGTTGTAGTTGCCCCCACCACCACCACCACCACTCATGGACTGGTCCTGGCCGTAGCTGCCGGCTGCAGGAGAAAAAGGGGGACAGCTCAGTGTGGGGGGCCCAGACACCTGGGTTCTTCCCACCTCTGGACTACCTCTA